TTTTTTTGTTTTAGTATTTTGAAGTTGACCAATTGTTACTATAAGCAATTAATGATTATAGATGATCTGCACCGTACTATTACTAAGAGGACTAATTTCGGCCAACACCTATCTATCTATGCACTTGAACCTTCATATCCCATTATTCGAGTTTTCTAAATTTGTACTAGTTACACAAAAGTAAATATAATAAGAAAACCAACTAGATTATAGATTATAATGGGATAAACTGGCTTCATGTTTTTTTTTTTGATAAAGATGATAATTTCAAAATTTACAATTCACGAATTTAGCATAGTGGAAGTTTGTTGTTACACGAAATGTTATACAGAACCCATTGCTCCTGAAACTTCACCATTATTATTACGTTGCCTCTCTAAATTGGATCAAGTTCAGATCCAATTCAAATCTAGTTTATCACTTACTTTTTTATTGCCAGAATGTTTGCCGTGTATTGTAAAGTTACGTTGCACAAATATAAAAAATTCGTGTAACATTTCAAATTCCCACTATGCTCACGCTGAATATAAAATGGGTTTGTGTTACAATCCTCTAATTTTTCTGTTTAATTTTTTGAAAAAAAAAATGTTTAAAACTAAATTTACGGAAACGTTTAAAGAAATTGGATTGAAATATCCAATTGTTTCAGCTCCAATGGCAAGAGTAACTAGTGTTGAATTAGCTGTTGAAGTCAGTTTAGCTGGAGGTTTAGGTTTAATTCCAGCAGGTATATATAATATATATATATATTATATATACTGTTATATATTATATATATTTGATAAATATTATTGTTAATGATTAGGATATATGAGTGCAGATGATATAGAAAAAGATTTAATTAAAGCAAAGGAATTGTTATCATCCTCTTCTTTGAACAATAAAGAGGGGGGTGATTTATTAGTATTACCAATTGGAGTTGGGGTACTTACATTTGATTTGGATAATCGTCCTGAAACACTTTCAACAATATTAAAATATAAACCTGCAGCAATTTGGTTTTCGTTTGGTGATTATTCAAAATATGTGAAATTGGTAAGAGAATCATCGCCTAAAACAAAGATTATTTCACAAATTCAAAGTATCGACATGTTAGTCAAAAACATGACCTCGACCCCTTCTTCCAATTATTCTTCTGTCGATGTGTTAATCGTGCAAAGTTCTGAATCAGGAGGTCATGGAGCAGTTAAAGGAGGCAATCTAATTACATTATTACCAGAATCAATTGATAAATTGAAAGAGTTGCATCAGGATAAGAAAATCAATTCAATCCCACCAGTGTTGGCTGCAGGTGGAATAAGCGATGGAAGGGGTTTAGTGGCAGCTTTGTCACTCGGTGCATCAGGGATTGTTATGGGTACAAGGTTTATTGCCTCGAAAGAAAGTTTGTCACCTGATAATGCAAAATCCCTTATTATAAATACAAACGATGGCAATAATAATACAATAAGAACTAAGGTTTTTGATAAACTTAAAAATATTCCATGGCCTGGAGAATTTGATGGAAGAGCTTTAAGAAATCAAACCACAGATATTATTCTTGATAACGACAAAGAAAAAGAAGAATTCGAAAGAATTAAAAAAAACTATTTTGGTGGTGTTAAAAATAAAGACTATTCATATGTTGTAAGTTGCTGTTGTTATTCTTTTGAGGGTTTTTTTTCAGGGGGTTTTTTTTTCTTTAAAAAATTTTCTTTTTGTGCGTTTTGCAAAATAGGAAATTTACGCTGGAAGTGGAGTTGGATTGGTTAAAGAAGAACTTTCTGCAAAAGTATATTTTGTTCTTTCTAATTTTTAATTTTAAAAATAAAACAAAATAGTAATTCTTTGTTATTATCATTATTATTATTATTTTTATTATTAATAATTTTAGGAGATTGTCGAGTCAACAATAAAATCTGCAGGAAAAATAATTGACGAATTAAACCATTTATTTCATCGTGAATAAAATGAACCTTGGTGTAACTTGACGATTTGACAATTTGATTATTATGCATGCAATGTAGTTATCGTATCAGTTTATCATCATCATCATCATCATCCGTCAAATAAAAAATTATATAAATTCATAAAAAAAAAAATTTTTTTTTGATTTCTAATTTTTCAATTAATAAATTATGACTCAAGTAAAAAAAATTTGCTGCCTTGGTGCTGGTTATGTTGGTAGATATCTTTTATATATATTAATTTATTATTTTATTAATTGCGATATAATTTCTCTGATGGAAGATTTGTTAAAAGAGCAAAAAATATTTTCTTTATTTAAACACTTCAGAATGTCAAAACTACCCATAATTCGACATCATAATTTTTTTTTAATTTTTCTCAAAATTATAAATATATTCTTTTGAATAATGAATTATTTAGGCGGACCTACATGTGCGGTCATCGCTTACAAATGTCCGAATATTAAAGTGACCATTGTTGATTTGAATCCTGCTCGCATTGCAGCTTGGAATTCTGATAAATTACCAATTTATGAGCCAGGTCTTGATGAAATTGTATTTGCACGTCGTAATGAAAATTTATTCTTTACAACCGATGTAGAAAAGGCCGTCATAGAAGCAGATTTGATTTTTGTTTCAGTAAATACTCCAACAAAAAAAACTGGTCTAGGCGCTGGTTATGCTGCTGACCTTGCGTAAGTTTAATTTCATGTGATTATCTAATTTAATTTGTGTGATTCGCTTGATAATTTATTCGATTTTGATCAACAAATTAATTTATCACATAAATCAATAACCTATCGTTTTTAAAGTTATGTTGAGTCAGCTACAAGACAGATTGCAGACGTGGCAAGGAGTTCAAAAATTGTAGTTGAAAAATCAACTGTACCATGTCGTACAGCAGAAAGTATGAGAACAATTTTAGAAGCAAACTCCAGGGATGGTATTCACTTTGACATACTATCGAATCCTGAATTTCTTGCTGAGGGTACTGCAATTAATGATTTATTAAATCCTGATCGTGTTTTAATCGGTGGTTTACAAACACCCGAAGGAACAAAGGCTCAAAAGGCTTTGGTAGAAGTATATGCTAATTGGGTTCCTACTGAACGTATCATTACAACTAATTTATGGTCATCTGAACTTTCAAAATTGGTAAATACTTATATATATATATAAGATATTTATAATTATTAATATCCAATTATTATTTAATTTGCATTACATGACATATTTACACACACACATATAGGCAGCAAATGCTTTATTAGCTCAACGTATATCATCAATTAATGCATTGTCTGCAATTTGTGAAGCAACAGGTGCTGATATTGATGAAGTTGCATATGCTTGTGGAAAAGATGTACGCATTGGTCCAAGATTTTTAAAGGCATCAGTTGGATTTGGTGGAAGTTGTTTTCAGAAAGATATATTAAATCTGGTTTATCTATCTGAGCAACTAAATCTTCCTGAAGTTGCTGCCTATTGGAAAACTGTTGTCGATCTAAATGAATATCAGAAAAACCGATTTATTTCACAAATCATCAAAACATTGTTCAACACCATCACCTACAAAAAAATTGCATTGCTTGGTTTTGCATTTAAAAAAGATACTGGTGATACCAGAGAGTCTGCTGCCATCACTTTATGTAAAGCTTTTATTCAAGAAAAAGCCAAAGTTCATATTTATGATCCAAAAGTTAGCGAAGAACAAATTCATCTTGATTTGACTGAACCTGGTGTTGTCAATAATATCAATGAAGGTACATACATATATGTGTGTGTGCGTGTATATATATATATATGTGATTTATAATTAATTAATTATTTAAACCTTATTTATTATAGTAAAGAAATCTATCACTATTAGCAAAACAGCTTATGAAGCATCTGAAGATGCTGATGCCATAGTTATTACAACTGAATGGGATGAATTTAAGGTTTGTTTCAATCAATTAATCAATTAACAAAAATATTTAATATTGATTCGTACATTAAAAATACTTGATTTTTATAGACATTGGATTATAAAAGAATCTATTCAAAAATGCATAAACCAGCTTTCATTTTTGATGGTCGTCTTATTCTTGATGCTGAGAAATTAAATTCTATTGGTTTTAAAGTATTCACCATTGGTAAAGCTAATAAATAATAGTTAGATAAATAGTTAGAAAAATATAAATTTAATTTAATTTTTTTTTTTTTTATTAATTATTAAATATTAAATTTTGAAATTGATTTTTGAATAATTTAATTATTTTATAACAAGAGCAACGACTATAGTGATAGAAATATATGTATATATATTTAAAAATTGGTTTTAGATTATATATATTTATAATAAATATTATAGTAAATCGGGACTTTTATTTAATTAACAAGTGCAAAATCATATAATGAACGATCAAACCATTTCGTTAATCCTCTTGACCAGGAGAGACTCACTCACTCCCATTGGATCTTTTCAACATTGAGGGTGTGTTAAATAAATGTTTTACGATATAAATTGACTGGTGTTGATGATTTGTATAATAGATTTTTGAGAAGAGTAGTAAAGCGGAGTGAGAAGTTGAGAGCAATCTTGATGCACCAGCAACAGCAATAGCAGTTGCTTGAATGAAATACACTATGGGTTGATACACTCAACAGCATCATGGATTTTGACACTAATGATCTTGCCATTGATAATTCTATAGGATCGCACAAGCCTAGTCTGTTGGAAACAAGTATATGAGGACCAGTGTTCATTAATATCTTCACCACCTCTATGAGCATGTCCTTTTATGTGCAAATTAACCCCTGTACTAGCTGTGCCAATTAACATAACCGGCAGGATAAATGAATGAATTTTGGACATTCAAGTCGATGAGAATATGAAGATTGGGAGAGCAAGGGATGTGATGGTTGTTACATTTGATGCAAATCCATCAAGTTGCGAGACAGTTGATGGTGATTGTGATGATGATGTTCATGATAATCTTGATTATTTTGAACTTCTTTTTCTTTTACAGATTCCTTTCTGCAGCAACAAGTTTTTTATTTATGTTCTTTGTATGGGGCTGTTGATTGTGTTTATTCTTCAATTGAGGCTTGGAATATTCAAAAATCTTCAAATCTTGGTGCGGATGTGCACGCGCTAACCAAATTTGGATATTATATGCAGATTTTTATAAAAATTTATTGACGCAGTCGAATTTCATACAATAAGCCCAAGTTTACAATAAATTTAGAAGCCCGATGTGTACAAATTAATATATAAATGCATCTTTGTTATTTTTAATTATATCGCAAAATACCATTTCATGATCTCATGTAATAATAAAAAATTTTATAATTTTAAATCAAGCTCCAAAACATATTGTTTAAGGTGATTAGTCCAAAGTGGTCTACACTGGACAACAGTCTTGCACTGAGTATGAAGATCCTGCTCTTGATAGTCATTGTACAGTTCCTTCGGTACAACAAAATAAAATTTAATATCCAAATTTTCATTTTCGTTAATAAGTTTTCGCAAGCCATTTATGTTGATAGGATGATTCTTGGAAGTCGTCATTTGAAAAAATATGTTGGGGTGAATAATTGCATCAACTGATGCAAATTTTTTTTGAGTTGGTATACAGTACTTGTTAGGTGCAATCTCTTTAATGTTGTTGAATAATAATTTGTCTCTTGTAGGCAATCTAAATCTGGAATTACCATTCCCAAAGGAAGAAGTTTGTTCAAATAAAGGACGGGTCCTAAAAGATTCTCCACTTAGCAATTTCTGATGAGCGATCTGCTCAAATATTGCACCTCGGAGTGTACTGTATTCATTTATTAACGAGCTACTTTCCACAAAATTCAGCAACTGATTTCTATAATGAGTTGCGAGTCTATCTACTACCTTCTCGGAAACATAATCAGATGCAAACTCTAGGATTGACATTGTATAAAAAGGTCTATCTTTTCTCATTTCCGGTTTAATTACTGCACTACCTTTACCTTTATCTAGTTTAGTTACCATGGAATTTTTTGATATAGAAGATTCATCTATATTATCTATTTCTTCTTCCACTTCCACTTCTTCTACACCTTCCTCACATTCCTCTGCTTGTGGTACATTTGTAGAGATATGTACAATTCTGTGTCTGGTATCATCATCATCTGTGGTTTCACCAACAAAGTTCAATATTCTTTGATTAACAGTGCTAATTGCCATTTGGAGAAGATCTTGTTGACTATCATTAAGCGCATAATACAACGTGTAACGAGGAATCCCGCCCCATTTATTGTATAAACTTTGAACCAATTCTTGATTAAGATCAGGAAAAAGTTTATCTTTGCATTTCTTGATTTCTACATATGACCACACTGGCATATACCGAATAATTGTACCAAGCTTGTCGAATTTGTGATAGTAATGCTTCTGGGGTGAACAGATAAGAATTGTCTTTGCATGAACATCTGATGGTTCTCGGCCATCCACAATATACCATACTTCTCTTTTCATCAGAAAATCATTGAATTCATAAATATTATCTTGGTAAATACGATAAACAGCTTCTTCACTGAAAAGAATTGGTGTTTTGTTACATTTGTGATATATAACTGTCTTATTTCGGATCGCAAGCAGATGAAGTAGGTAATAACCAAAGAAGGTCTTTCCAATTCCCGGATTGCCAGTAATACGCAAACGGCGGATATTGTCATCCTCAAGAATAATCTCTGAAAGGTGAATATAGCAATCACGGATGAACAGAGCAGGTGGATTGGAACCTTTATCATCATCACCTAAAATATAGGAGGCCTCTTTAGACAACCGAAGAAACTGGTTTTCTTTTGTTCCATTCTTCAAAGCGTTCCAAGCCCCCAGTTCTTCATTGCTATCACCAATTCTTCTTCGCTTGTTAGAGATATCTATATATATATATATATATAAAATAATGCAGACAAAAACGAAGCAACAGCCAACAAAAAGTTTTATTTTATACTTTGATTAAATTACTGTGGGAACATACCAGGCTTCAAAAAGTCCAAATAAGTTTTCAAGTAATTGCATTTCTCTTCATCAGTATCAAAGACAGCTAGGGCTTGCTCTACCTGATTTGCTCGATTGACATCCTCACTGATATAGGCGATTATTTTAGTAAGATCCTCTTTAGGTAGTTCTTGAGAGAACTTTAAAGTAAGGCGCTTTATCTCTAGATAGACTGTTGACATGTCTCTAAAAAGAATAGTAATTAATTAGTATTACAAACAGAAACAAGTTTACAATGAGAATGCAAAAGTGAGCAATCAATGATCAATGATCATTATTGTTATCAATTATCAATTATGTTATCAATTATCAATTATCAATGATCGATCAATGATAAACAATATTATACAACGCAACCATTTTCGTGAAACATCAACCTTTTTTTGTATCAAAATTCCCATTCAAAAAAAAATAAAAAATATCAATTGACGTTGTACCGGTTTAAACTGATCCAAGGTAATTAATTAATTTTGCTGGATTATGCGTAACATTACTTACTCCCCAACTTTAATTGTATGTAATGGGCCGAAAAAAAAAAAATCAACTAAATCAACAACAAAATCAACAAAACGAACAGGACCAACAGAATGAGAATCAGAATGAACAGAACCAAAATAATATATTTTTAGAAGCTTTAATTGATGTAGATGATCCAGAAAATATCATAAATAATAATAGTAGCAGCAATAACAGCAATAATAACAGTAACAGTGATAATAGTGGTAATAAGACTAACACTAATAATAGTGTCTTTAACAACAATAGCAGTAATAGTAGCACCAATAATAACGAAGAACTTAGCAAAGAATTTTTGGAAAGTTTTTTAGATGATGTTGCAAAAATTTATGATCATGGTAAAACGTTTTTGACTTTTAATGAAGAAAAAGAAAATTTATCAAAACAAATTTTGCAAATTAAAGATGAATATAATGATTTAATTAAAGAGAAGGATAAAACAATTGCAGAATTTAAGAAATCAATGACAGTACTTAGGTTTAATAATATCACTCTAACAAATAACAATAATGATCTAAATTCAAAAATATTGGGAAAAGATGCTGCAAATGATGAATTAATAAAAAAAAATTTTGAACTTCAAAATTTTTATTCAACGCTAATAGTTAAATATAATGATTTAGTTCAAGAATATAATAACTTAAAAGAAAAGCTACTGTCACAAATAGCTATAAATGAAGGATTATATGAAAAACAAAATAATCAATATGTCAGTCAGTTGAACAAATTAAAAAAACATAATTCAGAATTACAACTTCAACATGATCGTAATGTTGTAAATAATAAAAAAAGAGTAACATTAT